AAAAAATTAGAAGAAAATGCACATGACTTCACACCATAACAAAAAATAACTCATGTTTTTAAGTTTTATCCTACCTAATTTATATTGTATATATTTTGAAAGCACTGACAAATTCAAAATAAGTGTTCTTACAATCATTGCTTCTAAAAGCTATGGAGTTAAATATGTATTCTCATAACCATTGCTTTCACTCTCTCTTCTTCTCACATCTTCTACATATGCTTCAAGGGGCCGAGTATTTTCTGATTCTCCCCATGTGTCACCTGGTTGCAATTTAAGAAAATTAAAAAGTAAAAGTCCACCATTGAAGGCCATTCAAAGCTTTGCTTTCGAAAATATAATTTTTTGAGTTTGTTAATTGTTTGGATTGGGTATTGTTCCAATTGATTGTAAATATCAAAAGGAGTTCAAGATTTTAATTTGAAGTGATTTGGAGTAGATTTGAGCAAGATTTGAGTTAAATTTCAGAAAAGGCGCAAGGAAGAAGACGAAGACAGTTTTTTGTATAATTTTATATAATCTTGTATAATAGTGTATATGAGTGTATAAACACATCTTATACACTATTATATATTTTTATACACCTTTATACAAACGTCTGTAGAGATTTTCAATTGCAATTCTTGTTCAAAACCAGTCCAAATCTCCATTAAATGACTTCAAATTTTATATACAACCTCCTTATACTATTTCTAACAAGTTTAAATAATACCCACTCCAAAATTCTCACGAAATCAAATTTGAAATTTAAACCCACATATTTAAACTTGTTAAAAATCTAATTTTCACTACCCAAGTGTTGGTTTGTTGAATTAATATTTGAGTCACAGTTACTGATTCGAAAGTTAACTCAAAAGCTTGAGCAATCTTTTTTAAAAATTAAATTGTAATTTGGAGAACCTATTGGAGTTCAATGTTGAGTATTAGCCTATTATTTCTGGGCTAGTTGGTTGTAAATTGAAATATGGGCACTTTTCCCTTGATTTTATTACTAAAGGAATTAATCTCAAACGACGGCCAAGTTGTCTCCGTGTGACCTATAAATAACAAATTTAAATTGTGAAATCAGCTATTGATATTTGTATTAGGATATGTTGTCTACGTCACACCCCCTTTCTCGAACTTCGCATGAACGCAAAATATTTTATGCACCAAACTGTCATTTTTTCTTCTTTCTCGTAATCTCAAACAAAATATAGTAGCACTTGTACTCGTAAAGTTTTTAATAGTAATTTTGCATCTTCGTCCCCGAGATCCTTTCTTTTTCCTAAATACAGAGGAGAAAAACATGCAACACGTTTTTGGTGTCATAATAAAAGTTATAGTATTGTTCATAATTATAAAACATAATTCTTGCGGCAAAAGTGATAATTTCTTTTCCTTGATTTATTCAGCTCCTTTTTTTGTGGTAAATTGTTTCTCTAGCCCACCACCAAATCGACAGGTTTATCCAAAATTTGTACATCCATTTTATTGAGTATTTATATAATCGTCAAATTTTACAAGTTTTTCTTTGTCCGAGTCTCTAATATTAGACCGGGGGGGGGGGGGGGAATGTTTTACAACATCACTTTGTTAACCGTGGAAGTAGCCATTAATTCTTGCGTTAAGGTAGACTGTCTACATTACACTCCTTGGGGTACGAATCTTTTCTCGATCCTGTGTAAATATGAAATATTGTATACATCGAACTGCCTTCATATGTTATCGATTCGTTCCCCCATCCAGTGAAAGATGTAGCTTCACTGCAGTAGACAGGGGCGGAGCTAGAGTGTTCCGAGCGGGTTCGGCCGAACCCAATTCGAACCCTATATTTATTTTAAAAAATTCATTAAAGCGACTAGAAGTCCGAACCCATGAACTTGAAATCCTGACTTCACCTCTGACAATAGACGGATTTTTCTATTGTATTCGCCACGAATTATATATATAT